GTAAGTTATGACAGGGATACACAAAACTGGCCGGTCTGTGTGACTATGACTGAGGTGCAGGTGAGAAGATGGTAAATGAAGGAGAATGAAATTGGGAGTCAGCAGTGAAAGTTCAAATCTCTTTACAGCTCAGATGGTATTTAAAAAACTGGCACAGGATTAGCTCTCTTCCACCCTTCTGGACTGCTTTTGGGACTGCAGGAGCAGAGATCTCAGGAGCTACTTCATTTAGGACACTTGGATACAGGATCACTGTGCCTGCTAATTTAAGATCTGTTATCCTTGGTGGACACTGGTTATCATTCTGTTGTGTTTCTGGCCAGTTGGAGAGATGTGTATTCCCCTCATGTAATAAGAAAACCTTACCTTGTTTCCATCCAGCTACAGCACGGACATATTTATGCAGCACTTTTGCCTTCTCGGCATCATTATTACTTACTTTACCACCTGCATGTGGTATGGGGGTGCACGGCGACTGCCCAGTGTCTCACTACAGCTCTGCAGATGTGAATTTGAACCCTATCCTGGGGTCATGCCACTGGCCACTCCCAGCTGACCAAGTGGTGCTTGATGCCAGGTCTTCAGTCTGCAGGAGTCAAAGACAGCCCTAATACCCCATTGTGTGCTTCTTAGCACAACTGTCTCCCAGATAGCACTTAGGGATCATTAAAGCACAAGTAACCCTTAAATGGAACATGAAATACGAATGCAGACAGCTGTGTCTTAAAATCAAAGTCTACCTGTATTAATACAACAAGTATTAGCATAGCAGTTTCTGTATTCAGAGAGAGAGAAATTTTCAGTACAATAATCTCACCCAATCTCAGATATTACTTTGCTCAACAGAAAAGACAGTCACTCAGCTCCTAGAAGGAAAGGGCATTTGATGGGCTGGGACAGTCCAGACAAGTGTTGAAGTCTGGATTTATGATGATGTCTAACTCCCTTGCTCCCCGCTTTTTATGCTTTTCTTCAACTTCACTCCCCTGACTCTGCTTTCAGATTCGTCTCTGCAGTCAGCATACCATTCATCTTTTATCCCATCAGCATATTCCTTTGTCTAACAGACGCATCACAAGCACACCTCTTTATTTTGCATTTTTTCAGTGTCTTACTTTGGGCATTGTCCATTGGTCTCCCTCATCACCTTTCATTAATATAACCAATCCTTTCAGCCCTCTGATTCAGCTGCTTAGTGCCAACTTCAGTTAATTGGAGCTGATAACAATACCATAGCTGTGTTATGTTAAAACAGCTTCTCACAGTGATAAAAATGAAAAGATATAATACAATGAGCACCTATGAGCTCTACACAAGCAACTCAAAGCCAGGTAATAAATAAATAAGAGTTAAGAAGGAAAAACTTAAGCAATGATTAAATAAGGCTAAATCTAAACAAGATTGTAAGCAGGTGCAACTTCAAAGCATTAAACATAACAAGCTACCCTAACATACTGCTGTCTACAGAAAGTAGCCACAAAAGCTCCACAGAGCTACAGGGTTCAGGTAGACCTTTGACCTGACTTGGGGGGTTTCCCTGGAAGGATTTCCCTTGTTTCTTGTAATGAGGCCAGTGCAGTCCCAGATCTAGTCAGCTTCAGTCAGGGAAACAGCTCAGTTCATCCCTGAACAGGTATCTGCTGCAACAAGCCTAGAGCAGCACCCAGGTCCCAGCTGGGCTGAGTGAAGCAGTCAGGGCAGTCTGCCCCCTGAAGCCACAGACAACAGGCCTCACCTGCTCCTTCCCTTAAAAGCCAGGTCCAGCCCATAGTCACTTTGTCTGGGCAGAGGCAAAAGATCTTGTTCTTTCTTCTCTGTGTTTTTCCTTTCTGAGTCTCTGGATTTGACTCCTGGCTCCGCTTCCAACCTCTGGTCCTGGTAGGACCTCTGGCACCCCCTCATTCTAGTTTTCTGCTCTTGATTCTGGTTCACACTTCAGTTCTGGCTTTTGGTTTATGATCCCAGTTAACCCTTGGCTTACCAAATTTCCAGCTCTGGCTTTTGATTCTGGTCTGTCTTGACTTTGGCTACAGTTTTTAGTTCCAGGACTAGAGCCCCTATACCCCAAACTCCTGGGAGACCTATCTAATTTGCACCAATCATTCCTTATTAGCTTTCTATACCACAAAGCTTCTGATTTATATAGATAACTACTATTCCCTTTCTTTATTATATATGGTCTTTTTATTTCTAATTACTCCAGTCAGATCACTGTGAATCAGGATGGGTGTCATGGAACATTTGTAGATGGTCTTGTACAATGACTAGGCAAGCAAGGGAAAATGGTGCCTGGGCTCTGGTCAAGAGGCAGAAGCCATATACCAAAGGCAGAGAAAGGTCCAGAAGCAGAGTCCAGGCTTAGGATCTGGGGGTCAATTGCCAATGGGCAATCCACTGGGCAAAGTTGAAAAACAGACCCAAAATAAAGTTAAAAGCAAGGAACCAGAGGCATCAGGAAATCCGAATCAAAAGTCCAGTAAAAAGCTGAAAACAAGAGTTGGGAACTAGGAGGTGCAGGACTGCTAACTTGCCTGAAGATCCAGACCCGCAGCTGGTGCTATGTTGATAGGTAATGCTCCCAGCAGCCAGTCAGGATGTTTGCTGCTTCTAAGCTGGGGCAGATTTCATTACTTAGGTTTTGTTACAAGAGTTCCTGACAGCCCTTTGCCCAGGCTGGTCTGCCTCATCGACACCTTGACAATGAGCTGTTACCAAACGTCCTCTAGGGGAACAGTACCCAGCTCTTACCCAGTGGTACCCAGACCCTTTGAAAACTCCTGCCTTTGCTGATGTTCTAGGTCATGTTGACGCCCGTCTGGTTGGAGGGAATGGGACCTGTGTAGGACGTGTGGAGATAAAACGGGGAGACACCTGGGGAAGCATCTGTGATTCCCACTTTGATCTCAAGGCTGCCAGTGTCCTCTGCAACCAGTTACAGTGCGGAACAGCTGTATCCACCCCAGGAGGAGCTCGCTTCGGAGAAGGACAAGGGCCCGTTTGGACTGAAGAGTTCCAGTGCGAGGGGAATGAGTCTCATCTCTTTTATTGCCCCAGGACACCATATGTAGATCAATCATGTTCACATGGAAATTATGTTGGTGTCATATGCTCAAGTAAGTGTTCAACATCATGTCTAAAACGCTATAGATGTATGCTCTAGACGAGGGTGCATCACTAAAAAGCTATAAAAGCAAGTAACTTCCTTGTAGGAAAATGAGGGGGTGGGGTGTAACTTGATGTCAGCTGCTTCACAGAACTTGCTTGTTTGCACACAGTTGCCTGATGATAAGCAAAAGGTAACTGTTGACAGTTCACACTTTTTTCACTGTGGTCTAAGATGTCTCTCATCAGGCTTCAAAATACCATAGGGTAATTGCTGGCTCATGGGCAGGCACAGTTTAGCAGCTGCTGCATTGCAAAAGCACATCTCCTTTTACAGGGAGCTACATGGTTCGCTTGCCCACATCATCACTCTGTAGGGAATAATGACTAGGATCAGCTCCTGGTAAATCTAAACAATCCAAGCCCAGGAGAAAGAAATCAACATCCCTCCAACTTCTTTATCTGCTTGGTGTAGAGTGGCACGTTGGCTATTTATCTCCTCTCTTTAATGCCCTCTCCCTTCTCCACAGGGTTCAGGTTCAGGTTGGTGAACGGCACCTCCGTGTGTTCAGGGAGAGTGGAGGTCCAGGTGCTCGGTGCCTGGGGCACCCTCTGTGCCTCACGCTGGGATTTATCCGATGCCCACGTTCTCTGCCGTCAGCTCAACTGCGGAGTTGCTGTGTCCACTCCAGAAGCAGGGCATTTTGGGAAAGGAACTGGCCCTGTCTGGGGTGACACATTTCACTGTAAGGGAACTGAACCTCACTTGGGGTTTTGCCCTGTTACTGCCCTGGGGGCCTCTCAGTGCTCGCATGACCATGATGCTGGTGTGATTTGCTCAGGTAAGTTCAGAAGCAATAGAGGGTGTTTCACCTTCCCCTTGGGGTGTTGGCCCTACAGGGAAGGGGAACCTCTGGGCTGAGCAAGGGAGGGTGAGCTGGATCCTAACTCATGGATTATTCAGGAAAATACTAGCTGTGTTGCTCTTGCCTAAATGAAAGTTTGGATCCAAGTCACAGGGATTTCTCATGTAAGAATCTTCTGACCAATAGTTTCCAGTCCCCTCCCGTGCCTGAGGTAGCGCACTGCAGGAAGAGCTTGGATCATTGCTCCTTATATTCAGACACTTCCCCCAACCTAACCTAGTGCATTGGATTAGGGATCCATAGTATGAGACACTTGTGCTCTGGGTTGGTTGCTTCAGACCCTTCCCTACTCTTCCTCTTTAGAAGCTGGAGGTGTCAAGGTGGCCTTGGTGTCTTCAGGTGTTACAGGATAGGTCGAGATTGTGGCAGAGTGCTCTAGTACTGTAGGAACAGCCTAGTTTCTGGTTCACATAATGCCCCATGGCAGAAGACTAGCCTTGTATCAGAGCAGCACACCCAGTGTCACTACTCTTCCCATATGTTATTGAGGCTATTGCTCCTGGGTGCCACATTTCCACGTGCACTCAGAGCTACAGCATATTGAGCTGGCTTGGAGAGCCCCTGCTGGCAGGGGGCCCGGGGTAGTGGTGAAGTCAGCCTGACGGCCCAGAACTGCTCTGACCTAGCAAAACGTGCTGTGGAGCGCCAGCAATCAGCCCCTACACTGAAGCACCCTCCTGGCACTGCTAGCCCCATCAGCATCTCCACATGTGCTGCAGCACACTAAATAACATCACTGTATGTTAGTACTTATATTTACATTTACTAAACTATGGCAACATTTATTAGTTTCCTACAGACTAATCAGGCTGCACATGTAGATGTGGAGACTTTACTGCAGACCTGATTAGGCAGCTCCACAGTAAACGTCTCGTGTAGATGCACCCACAGACTGCATCGTGGGCAGTATCATCCCTAATGTATAACAGTTTATTCCATTCATTCCCCTCCTTTCTTGGCCCCAGGCCGATCTGAATCCCTCAGACTGCTGAAAGGAGAGAGCCGGTGTGATGGCAGAGTAGAGATTTCCCTTGGCGGTATGTGGGGCAGAGTCCTGGATGATCAGTGGGACATGAACGATGCCAGCGTGGTGTGCAGGCAGCTGCACTGTGGAGTTGCTGAGAGCGCCTACAACCTTCCAAAGTCTGAGCAAGGGACGGGTCCTGTGGGGCTTAGAGGTGTGCGATGTGCAGGACACGAGTCCAATCTGACACACTGCAACTCCAACCTGTCTGAGACCGAGCAGGCAAGAATCACTGAGGATGTTGGTGTTGTTTGTTCAGGTAACTTCCCCTGAAAATCCTACAGACACGCTCTCCCTGTGCAGGAGGAATGTGACCATCCAGGGCCTGGATCCCCCCTGCCCGCTCCCCCCACACTGTGCCCCAGCCACCGCTTTGAAGCATGGAAGCACTGATGCATGAGACTCTGTGGGCATTGTAATAAGAGCGGCTCTCAAACCCACCCTAACTAAAGCACCCATTAAGCTTTTGTCTTGAAAGCCCTGGCCCCACACCCGTTTTAACTGACTGGCTTTCTTGCATACCTCTGGCTGCTTTACCACTCCGTCCAGGAAGAGCACAGGCCATCTGCAAATGCTTCCTCAGCCTGACAAGCGGTGCTTGTGCCCGAAAGCTTGCTAAAAGGAATGTTTCTAAATATTTGGGTTGATTTAATTAAAGATATGGGATTTACCCAAAGAAGCTTGCCTGCCCTTGCTTACTGGCTCTCTAGTGGCAGCTCACAACTGTAGCTCCTAGTTGGGCCCCTGCTTACCAGCCCTTTCATGGCAAGTCACAGCTGTGCAGATGTGGGGAGCAGACAAAGAAGGTTTTCAGCCATATAGTGTGACTCCTCCAGTCTCACTAACACCCAACACCACTTGAGAAGCTCACGGTGCAGCATGTAACCAGGCCCAGTATGGCTGTCACAGCTCTTCTCCCTAATGCTCTTTTCTCAGAAATTGTTCATCAATTCAAAAGAATATCATGGCGATGTTGCTACTGGGGCTTGGGGTTTTGTGTTTGTGTTTCGATTTGTTCTGTTCTTTTTTTTGG